TTTTAGTTACATATTAGTGGTCGTCCAGTGTTTTAAATTCGATCACTGGATGACCACTAGTCTGTACATATAAATATTATTTATATTATTATAAATTAATTATTACATATAAAAGAAAACGTTACCTGTATCAGGAGGCGCAAAGAAAAAATATTAAATTCTCCAAGTCTCCAACATCTTTATTCGTCGCCACGATCCCTAATGATTTATTAAGACTTAACAAGAGAGCCGCTGAAGGCGACCGAACAAACATTTCCCTGCCATTTTTTAATTAAATTGAAATATTCATTCTTACGTCTACTTACGGACATTTGTCTAAGGACAAAATTCCGCGTACAAAGGGCTTCAGATTAAATTTCCGGCGGGTCCACTTCAGCCCTAGAATGCCCTTTATTACCCCGTTACAAAAGGCTCCAATGCTCCACAACTAGAATATTATAGAATCCCCTCTCATTCATTTCCTTTTTGGTTTATTTTGTCTACTTTGCGGGGATGTAGTTCATATTATTTGGATACTGAGACTTGAATAGAACTGAGTACAAATAGAATTGCAATAGATTTTCAATAGTTTAGGCAGTTTATATATACATATATACATTACTAGATCTGTAATCCAGTAATATACATGTATATATAAATTACCACTACGTAATAAATGAAAACGTAAAAGTTTATACTTTTACGTACACTGCAAATTTATAATATCATAAAATGATATTATAAATTATAATATAAAATAAATATAATAATAAAAAAACTGTTGCAACTGATCCAATTTGCTATGATTTTATTATTTTTGTACCTATATAAAAAATATACGTTTCTTTAATTTTCATAATGTTTGTTTAAAATGCATGGAGTTTTTTTATATTTGTGATCATACAGATATAACACGTTAAATATAAAAATGTATGACCATTACTTAAACTAAAAAAATAATAACTTGTCTTATTAATGTATTAATTATATTATTGTATTATCATTACAATTACAGAGGTATACTTTTCAATTAAATTTTAATAGACTATGGTTGAAACAACGGACAAACAAACAATTTTGATATTCATTCACTAAAATACACAATAAAATAAACGTAATGCAACCTTAATTTCGATACCTTCCTTAAATTGGAAATAATTCGACATTATTATTTTCATGTCAGCCACGGATTCGTAAGGATATCTTGCAAGCTCGTTTTATTGCGCGAGTTAAGCAATATCTACGGACAAACGAGGCTGTTACACACGACAATGTTATTTTGGGACCTGCTAACGCCCGTGAACAGCCACTAAACGCTTTATTAGGTCACAGTAAAGCATTCCATTGTAATACATTACAATTATTGTTATGTATCTGTAATTTTTATTTTAATCGGATATATTACTTTATTTTTGGCGTAGATTATTTTTGTTATAACAAAAACCTATAAGATGCTACGTTAAATAATGTAATGAATTTTTGTAAACGTTCTAAGTATGTAATTAAATATATAACTTATATGGCTTACATCCTAATGGTCCAAGAGATAGAGGTGACAACCGCCGTCTATATACATGAACAACACCAACACATTATGTCATCATGTGGTAGCCGTAATGATGATGCCTGTAATTTCACTGCCATATCACTATTCAACCAAAATACAGCTAACAAAGCAAGCTACTTGCTGGCGGAAATGGGTATCTATGTAAATATTGACGAAGAACTAAATAGTTGCACATTAACTAACAGAAGTAAAAATAAATATTACAAAATATTATTATTCGTGCTAACATTAACATTTGTTCTACTTTCGTAGTAGATATACATACGTACTAGGTATATCTACAGTGGGAGATAAAATTAAACGTTTCGTGAAACGTTAAACGTACACGTCATCGATTCCGGAACGTCTGGACTGGAAACTAATGCAATAAAAGACAGCAAGAGAGTGAATTTCCTCGAAATTGGAACGGGGCTACGTGAGATCTCAGTGGGGTTGCCACGGCGCGAATTCGTGACGTAATCTTTATAGGGTTAATGTCACATGCTGTCAAAACTGTGAATTGGTGGCGGAAAATAGATGAAAGGAGCAGGCAATTTGTGATTGTCATATATATGATATATATTATCGATTCTATATATGTATACATATGATATATAGCATCAATGCTAATACCACAGATAACATAATTGCTAAAACGACCAAACGAATCCTAATGAAAGATGCGAAGACAGATTACGTACGGTCATACCCTACACTTTATTAAGAAAAAAAAACAGACTAAATCCTAGGGACACTAGTCTAATATAATTAAAACATATAAAGTACAGCAATTTCATTTTGGGATTTTTAAACAAACTTGCGTCGGTGTCTCTAAGTCTAATTTAAATTTACGGTACAGTTGTCAACAAAATCCGGTCTGGCAGTTTTAATACAGATCCGTTTCTCTATTTTAGAGTTATCCATGTATGTAATCAGAATATGTTATTTAGATTAGGGGATTATTAACATAAAAATCACTTGAATGTTATAAATAAATGTTGAATTCAAGAAATATTGCAAATAAAAGTTAAGTTTGTACATACTAACAAATAAACTTATTTTTATCACTTTTAAATAGATTTTTTTTATTTGATCGTAATGCTTGATTTTCAGTTTCATCTGAGAAGAGTAGATAAGAAACTTGGCTATTCCAGCTAAACTTCTTTTGAGATAAATAATATGAATACTATACATAGAATAAAATAATAAAAGTCAACACTATTTACTTCCATTTGAAATAATTTTATAATAAAAAAACTACTATTGCAATAGTGTTAAAATATCAAAATTTAAAAACTACTTTCAAAGATCGTTAAACTGGTGTTAGTTTAACATAATAATTAAATCAATTACAGTGACTGATGCTGACAATATAATTAATCTTTGGAGACACAAGACGATGGATGTCCAGAGTAATCGGTTGAATACCAGCTATTCCATCTGAGTGACGTTAATGATCATTGCTTCCGAACATGAAACATTAGCTTAGCACGTGAAACGCTGAATGATTTGTAAATGATGTTAACCCATTTTTAGGTGGGCAGCGGCTATTTTCTAATTCGTTTCTGTTTTTGTAATTATAACATATTTGTATCGGAATAGCTCATCATCCACCTGATGGTAAGTGGTAACTATAGCCTTACGAAGAGTACAGACATCACATTGTCATGTGATGCCCATGATACCACTTGTATGTTACCATTCTAGAATACTAAGATATCATGCCTCCTATCCTGTCCTTAATTTTACTACATTCAACTCAGCATACTTCTTAGAGACTGGAATTAATAAAGTTGCCCGACACACAAACAACTTTTTACAATGTCTAACCAGGTTATTTAATAGTAATCGTTAATGTAGCATCACCTTAATAATGCACTTATATTCTTGTATATAACTAATTACACCTAATTCTCTTAATGGTCACAGCACAAAACAAAAGAACTTCTGTCCAAATTCGGTAACATGAAAAAAGTTCTTGACTTTACCTTCAGAAGTTACAAGGCCAGACAGCTGGTATGGGAAAGTTAAAATTAGTCGCGATTTTGTTCTATGGATGACTTATTGTTCGTGTTTTTCTGATAGTTACTGATTTAGAAATTTAGAAAAGAATAATTATGTTCAATTAATTTATTATTTCTGTCTATAGTTATTATTAAAGCCTTCATTATAGAAGTATTTATTTCAAGGAAATTACAGTCAAATTACTCACTCGCTAATCTCTGATACTTTATTTCTATGGTAAAATATCTATTTGATGACTTCTTTCGTGATTTTATAAAACAATTTTAAAACAAAATGTTATTATAGTAATAAAAAATTCACAATAGTAGACTGATATTAGTCATTAGCCGACTACTACCTAGCTGCAGTTACTATTCAAATGCAATGTGATTTGGAAGACGTCCATGGTGGAACGTCCAATACGCTCTAGCGCCATTATATTACGACCAATATAAGTAGACACGATTGCCTCCGTTAAAGCTTCAAAAAATCTGAAAGTGGATAAAACTACATGGATCTAGGTAAACTGGGCACTTTACCTGCCTGAGAGCAGTGATGAGCCAACCCGCAGTTACGTACCTCAATGGGAGGCTGTTAAGTTCTAAACGCGGCTTATGGCGGAGAAAAAAGGCGTATAGTAGATAAAACAACGAGTGGTAGTTCGAAGAGTAGTAAAATTGAGCTGATTCGATCACAGCGATCATTGAAGCTCTATTTTGTCTGAAATAGGTTTGAGTTTGAGGTTGGTTTTTCAACTTCTGACAGTATTAAAGTAAGGCAGATGACGTGACGTGACCCATTAAACTACAATTTCTACTAGTAATGTTTAAGCTGAGGTCATAGCAAAAAAGAAAGAATCCAAACTTTCTGAGGTATTGTTTAACATTAAAACTAATGAACAGATTCAAATTAAATTAGGTATATAAGTATATAGGTAGTAAGGTACTTTTTTACATGAATTTGCGGAATAAAGTTATAAAAAATATATTAGTATATAAATTATTTTCAATATATAATCATATTTTATGTCTAAAAGTTAGTCCTTAATGTCAAATATTCCATAGTATATTCTATTCAATACAGTGTATTCAAAATACTATTTAGGCAATGATTACAAAAGATAATACGGCATCCTTCTCTTATAAACATTAGCAGATTCACGCCAATGCGTCTAATAGTTGCGTGATACACGACTATTAGTTCAAACTCACTTTAGAAGACTAAGCAGAAATGAAGCCAATTAGCACAGTACATAATGAACCCGATTTTCACGAAAGATTGAATTCTGCTAATGAGACTGTAGCTTCCCCTAATAACATTGAATTATACGCTATTAATGTTCGAGCCAGTTTATACGGAGCCTGTTTCATTTCGCATAAAATTATTTCATGAATGCTCCGCAACCCTGACAAAATTATGGTAAACATTTTGTAATGCTTTTTCACAATGTGTATTGTAATGTAAAGCTTACCGAATTAACTGCAGCCATCACAACATGGGCGTTTTCCCTCTACACCAATCTGGTTACCAGCTCATTCTGAAACAAATGGTGACATAAATCAGTTAATTAATTACTCTCATTGCCACACAAAATATACATGTATATTGTAATGTCGTGTTCCAGAAAAATGCTAGTTCATTTAATGTCAAATACGTCGAACGTGGATATTAATGTCAACCGTAAAGTAAATTAGTCCAAAAGCAATATCGTAAATGCCTCTGAAAGCGGGTCGGCCTTGTTGACATCTCGTGTATGAATTCTGACTCAATGCAGTCTCCGACCACGACTTGACGTTTCGCCTTACAGAATATCTTAGAAAATAACGTTCAAGTCAAACAAATGAATACCTAATGACTAGGCGATAAGTCACAAAGTTCATCAACATAGGCTGCTATAAGATACGTCTTGCGACAAACAGAATAGCCGCGTTCACAGTCAGTAGGGCAAACGTCCAAGTCCATTAATAAAATTGAATCAGGCGGACATTCCAAAGCATAATATGTACACGTGTGGGAATAAATAAAATCAAGAGTTTAACTATACTATAGAAAAAAGGAAGTCTGTTGAAAGATGATTTGAGTAAACGAAACAAAATCAGAGTAAAAATAACTTAATAAATATATTACTATAGCAGGTACTATACTAATATATAAATAAAATTGCAAACAATGTACATACGTGTGCAAAGCATTTAAAATGTACTTTAAATATGATTGTAAAAAAAAATACAATTTCTAGTTATTCGAGTTCTGTTTCCCAAAAATTTCACAGTTTTGGTATATTTTGTACGAAATTGTCTACATGAGTACCTCTGTCTCACCTATTTCAGACGCTAAGCAGTTTACTTTGCTGCTACAAAACGTATACATATAATATTCTAGAACCGTGTACCCACTACAATTTAAAGGATAGGTATTATTTAGAAATACCTACCTACCGAATTCGTATTATTTATAATACTTTGTAATAGAAATGTCCGTCGTTATGATGTAATCTATGCTCACGTTATTTTATTACTCATAAGCCGTTTAATCATGAAATACCTTTTCATAAACACACATAGATGCACTTTCATATTTCTAATATTGTAGTAATGAAACAGCTCCAGTGTCCCGTGATATTCTCTTTTAATGCGCTCTTAAAAATCGTAATTTTCAACATTACAATTACAAAAAATTGTATCTTACAATAAGGTAGACTCCTATTTACATACATACATATTACATTTCTAATTTTATTTTTCGATATACTCTTTTATTATAATCTGTAATATATCGCTGCTCTATTAGAGTTATTATTTAATTATCTCCCTATTTTACCTTTCGAACTCGATACCTCTACTTCAGGTAGGTATCGTATTTATGCATATGATTCTCTCTCTATAAGGGGAGGATTAGCTTACTAATTACCACGCTTTTCCAAGCAGAAGTGTCTGATTTGATTTTTGTCCTTTTGATGTTTTCATCTATACGGATGTGATACTTTTAATTCGTTGTTGTTTTGTCGTGTTGATTTTAAAGTTTATGTGCACTTAGGCTTACTCTCCTTTTATCTGGTTATATTATTATTATAAACTATGCGGTTTTTGTGTTTTCCATCGCCGGATAGTTAGTCTGATTTTTTTATTCACACATAGTTTTAATCGACGACCTGAATAAAATGATAGAAGAGCATGATATAAATTATCTGTCTTTTTTTATTTAATAGCATACAAGCTGACGACCCACCTAATAGTAGGTAAATAGAAACCAACAATTATATACATGAATAGTAATACAGAAATCACGTTATCATGTGACCGCTGTTATGCCACTCATGCGTTACTGTTACGGAGGACTGAGATGTCATACATTTTATCTGTAATTTTATTTCTTAATCTGCACCCAACAACCAAAACACAACTTATAAATTTACCAGGTGTTAACTATGATGGTCCGGGGGAAACGCTAGTCCCCAATATCAATAAAATATAATCAATAAATATTATCCTTTCAGCATAATTAACAATTTCACCATCACGCTGTATGTTACATTTTTTGTAATTCTTATTCCGTTTTTAGCTTAAAAAAGCTTTGACAAAGGTTTGGTGGGTAGCGGGGTGGTGGGGTTAAAAATTCATTTATAATAAGCTCGAGAGCCGGTGCCAAGGACTGAGTGAAGAAAGATTGATGGGCTGTCATGTAGTGCAGGGTACAACTTCAGAAAAATAACACTTTGTATTATGTTTCAGGTGATAGTATTAGGTAATATTCTTTTAGAGTTTTATTACATATAAATACGTATATTACGTCAATATCTATAGAGTTTAGAAGTCCCCCGCCGAATCTAATGATTTTAAAAAACTAGTAAGTGGATTTAATATTGTTTTCATCCATCATTAGGGTAATTCCTGACGAAGGTTTAGTATAATTATTTAAATAATGTATAACTGTAAAAATAAAATTACTATATATTATTTTTATGTTGCGCATTAAAATATGTATTTATGGATATTTGCGCAAAATACTCCAGAAACGTTGGATGTATCAAAATGTGTTGCATCTTTAAATATATTTAAACAATGCAGTATTCTTTTGGTATTCCAAGTGGCTTATACTACCTAAGTATGGTATGATAATACTTATATAAATAAATATTTTCTGTGTAACATAAAACGTCACGTTGTATATTACGTTGTAAATATTTGTGAAGTACAATTCTATATACATATATTAATCTAAAATATTTTTTTCTAAAGAGATTGTGCTTTAATAATTATTTACTCATAATTTTACTGATTATTCATGTTTCTTCCTAATATTGAGATTGTTTAAAGCAATAAATACAATAATTAGATTGATTTTAATATACAGTTAAACGTACGTATTACCTACTTTTATTAATTATCTTTATCCAGCATGATTACTTAATGACTTATTGTTTGAATACTATTAAAAAAATGGATACCTAAAATATGAATAGAAAAATAAATGTTTATTTCGCGCAAAACAAACTTAGAACAACTTTATTTAAAATAGACAAATTTAGTTAAGTGCGGCCATATTTATCAAAAGAGCTTATCGTACGTACTGAGGTTTACTACGTAAAATATGAGTTAATGCTGAACTAATCCATATACAAAACAAAGGGGCTTGCAATCTCTGGACACCCTTATCACGCCTGAACGTCATAATACAAATTGAAACAAATGAACACAGTTTAATCTTGTCTCCCTCCAGTTTCGAAACGTATTCAAGATGCTTTACTGTAAATAAAACGAGGTCGCTGTTTTAAAAATGATAACAAAATAAAGACAAAGCATCTCAACGGAGGCGGCGGGCTCATCATTTTTATCACTTTTCTTGGAGACTTTAATAAACCCAGCGACATAGCAGCCCAGGTGAGATATTACATTTTTATGCACAGGTGCTTTTTAATTTAGTCATGACGCGAGGTAGTTGCATCTAGTATATTGTAGAGGATTTTTATAGGGAAGTAGAAATTACTGAATCTTTTTATCCTGTAACAGCATATTTTTCTCGTATGACAAAATTAAATTGTACTCGCATTCTTTATTACATTTTAAGCTGCTACTTTCACAAAATTGTATAGAAATAGGAACCTAATTGCAATATTATTAGTGTTGACTATATAAAACCATAAACTAGATGGAACTATGCGCATGAAAGTCAACTTTAGGTTATAAACTATGTCATTTGTCAAACTACTAATAATATTATAAATGCAAAAGTCCGTCTATCTCACACCAATTTATGACGGCTGAACAGATATTAAAGGCGCGATTTGACGTTTACGTTTTTTATCTAAAAAAGCAGACGAAGACGTGATATGGAACAGCTAGTATGAAAAACTCGTGACATGACCGAATTAATTCAGGCACTTGATTTAATTCAGTTTGCTGAAGTGCCAACGAGAGCTACCCTCGCGCTTGTAGAGGTAAGCCGTCACTTTAGTCGATACCTCTTTTTGAAGGTGAAATAATGGCGCTAACCATAAATCATCTTATTTGAATGTAAGGCTAGCTTCTACTTGTGACTTTGTCTCAAGGATATGACTGACCGGAAATTTATGATGCTGGAATCTTTGTAAAGGTATTAAAAATAAACAAACTAACAACCTTTCTCTCATATTTGTAGGAATACTAAGAATTATATTTTCTAGAATATAAGAAGTCTCAAAAATATCTATGTACATTTTTGTTATTATGTTTTATCATTCAGTATTAAGAGTAGTGAAAATTTTTACTATTTTTTGATATAGATATAATATAATGGTCTGACTAATTATAAAACGTTTCGATTTTTTATTCAAATTTTTCCATTATCTAAATAAGCTGTACGTAATTTAAATATAAAACGGTTTGTTTATTTAACATGGAATTATTTTTTTTTTGTTATCTGTATATAGATGTGTATATTCATAATATTCTATTTATTTATTATAATCAGTATATACTAAAACATTCGTTTGTTTCTGTAATATAGTCATCGAGTGTACCTACTTGATGACTATATTACAGAAACAACTGGTAGTATAATGTAAGTGCATTCCCAGGAGAAAAACTTCATTTTATTCGATGAAAAGCAATTCTGTGCCTCTATTCCCATGCGATATTTCAATCTGTTGTCATTGTTTCAGGCTTATGTTTAGTATTGTTGTTAATAATATAACTAATAATGGGATACACACAAAATGACACAAAATAAGGGCACATAATACTGTACACACACATACATACATAATAATAATAGGCAACAAGGCTAGAAACAAGCAAATCTAAGAGAACTAGAGAGGTTGTAAACATATCAGAACTATTCTGTAATTATACACAACTGATAAACATACTTAAATACAATTATATATTACTATATAATGTTAATATAGGTACAAACATAAGAATAAATTCTAATGTATGTATTCAGCGAGAATGAAGTAGATAACCTTTAGATAGTGAGGCAGTGTAATACGGATCAACGTGGTCTACACACACAAAACAAATTAGACTACTATACCCTCTTCCTTTATATCATCCTATT